GTCCCTGCAGGCCCAGGGAAGCAGAGGGAGGTGAGGGCGGGGCCAGGCCCAGAAGCAGTGCTCTTGGGGACCTGAGAAGGAACTGAGTTTCTCTGGATGCACAGGCTCAGGAAGCAGTGGTGGTTCCCCAGGTGTCTGGGGTGCCCAGACAAGGAATGGGACAAGACCCAGGCTAGGAGGAGAGATGGGGGAGGGGGTGGTGTGGGGGGGTGGTGTGGGATGGGAAGGTGAGTGAGGCTCTGGGAGTCAAGGCTAGGAGGGCAGGATAGATTTACCCTGGAGAGAGAGGTCTGCAGGTCCTGCAGGCCCAGGGAAGCAGAGCTACACTGTGATTTTTAGCTCTAGAAGTTCAATTGTTGGCCTACTGGGTCTCTCAATCCTTTGACTCATCTCTGGGCTTCTTTAACAGAGAAGTGCTTTTCTCTGGAATCAACATATGTTTTGATCTTGTTTTTAAATCCACATAGCCAGTCTGTGAATTTCAGTGGTAAACTGAGGCAGCTTGCATTTAAAGCTATTATTGAGTGAAGTTTACTGATTTATATGACTGTGCTAGTTGTTTTCTGATTGGTTGGATCACTGTTTGTTCTTTCCTTTCTCTTCTATTAGTATTATGGGGTTGCTGGTTTACTATGTCGGCCATGGTAGATTCCTTCCTCTCTCTATTTTGTACGTCTATCCTGTAAATGAAATTTATTCTTTCCTGTGTTCACATGATTGTGACTGCCTCTCTTCTTCCTCTCTGTATAGTATTCCCTTAATTATTTTTGCAATGCTGGGTTGGTTTTCATTGAATTGCTTTCATTTGTGATTGTCTTTAAATGCCCTTATTTGGCCATCAATTTTGAAAGATAGATTTGCTGGGTGTTGCAAAGTTGGTTAGCAGCTATTTAGTTCAAGGGCTTGAAATATGTCAGGTTTTATGCTTTTGTGGCTTTTACGCCTGCTGATTAGACATACACTGAGTGGTCATTTCTCCTTTATAGCTTTAAATATTGTCTTCTTGAGTCAGTTTTTGGCATCTTGACAATCATTGTGGAGAAGTTCTTCTCTGTCACGTCTATCTGGGGTTCTAAATGTCTCTTTTGTTTAGCTGTAAGTTTTTTTCTCTAGATTTGGGGATGCATTTGGCTGTAATTTCATTGAACAGACTTTCTATGCCTTTAGCTTTAATCTCCTATCTTCCCCGCTATGGATTCTTGGGTTTCGTCATGCTTACTTTTAAAAAATATAGTTTAAATATGTTGTTATCTTAACCTTGTCCCGTCCCTGATGTTCTTTTTCATCTTGGTCTTGTCTGCTGCTGATGCTCTCTACTTTGTTTTTATTTGACTCTTCCATTTTCAGAATTTCTGTTTGGTTCTTTTTTTAGGATCTCAATTTCTTTGCTGAATTTTCCTTCACATTTTAAAATCTCTCCTCCTTATTTGGTCCTGAATTGATTTCTTTCATTCATCTACTTCTTTGAGTCCTCTGTGTGGTCAATGATTTTAAAAGTGGGATTCTGAACTCTTTCTGGCACTTTAGCTCTTTCATTATCATTGGCGTCAGGTATGAGAAGTTTTGAGCTTCTGCGGTGGCTGTTGTGCAGTTCCCATAGAGGACAGAAGAGGGCATCAGATCCCCTGGAACTGGAGTTACAGCTAGTTGTTAGCTGCCATGCGGGTGCTGGGATTTGAACCCGGGTCTTCTGTAAAAACATCCAGTGCTCTTAACTGCTGAGCCATCTCTCTAGCCCATTGTTATTTTTTCATTTGTTGGGCTTTGTACATCTGTTGGGGGAGACAGGCCATCCAGTGCTTCTTTTTCCTTTTCTCCACTCTGGGTGTGTTTGCTTTATTTTATGAAAATGTTTGCTTTGGGTTATGTTCCCCCTACTATCAGGAGGGAGGCTGACTATAGTATCAGTAACTTGAGAACAATTCTCTTGTCAACCAGCAGCAAAAGATACTTGTTTGTTTCATTTTTATCCCTGATAAGGTTTAAAGACAGATACAGAGACAGGGCACTAGACTGCTACTGGGTTTTCAGGTGTTTTCTAGATCCAAGAGTAATGAAGAAATCAAAAAAGGAGGGAATAGAAAAGAAAGAGATTTAGGTATGAGTAAAATGGGAAAGTATATGGGTTAGAGGCTAGATGTATCAACTATAATAGAGAAAACACTGTAAAACAGTTGTAGGACAGTCCTAATAGTTTTTTCAGGCAATCTGCAACCTCAAATAGAACAAATGAATAATTAAAGTACAAAAGTGTAAAATTGAAAAAACACTGAAATACAATGAAATAAAATATTATAACAGAAAGCAGTATTTCTTCCCAGTTGGGATGAATATGGTTTCTCTACCTCCTTAGTTGTCTTTGATGGGTGGCTCTGCCGGTGGAGAGAGGGGTGTTAATGTCAGGAATTCTGTATGGAATTCAGCTTTCTGTAGGAGTTCCTCACTTTGAAGCCTTGCCAGTTACAGCCTTCTTTTTGGTGTGGTGGGGGTCAACTTTCCACACACAACTTCCAGTGCCCAGACTGTAAGCAGAAATGGAAGGGCTGCCTATGTTCATATTTACCTTTGGCATTGTGTGGTCCCACACAGCTCTTGCCTGAGAATACTTGCGTCCTTCTCAGATGGGCACACTTTTCTCCAACGCAGTGTGGTTCAGAGCCATGGCATGTTCATGTGTCATATGACCCCCAGAAATCTGGACTCTACCCTTGAAAGGGAAAAGGACAATAATGTTTTAGAATTAGTATGAAAGTATACTGACCTCAGAGGTTCCTGACACGCACTTTGAGAGCCCTCGGTACAGCGTGATAAACCTGAGCAGGAAAATGTGAGGTTTGGGTTGTGCTACTGCATCTGGCTATTGCTCTGCGTCAGGTGGGTTACGTCGTCTTGCTCAGCACAGTTTCCTTTAGTATTTCTCCTTAGCTACTCTTTATGGTTGTGAGACTCAAACAACAGTCTATAAGAAGGGGCTAATTACAGCATTACTTCATAATTTTGTTAAAATATTTGTAAAGCTGTGATAGCAAATGTGTGCTTAGTACAGTGCCTGGTAGAATCAAGATAGCAATAAATGTTTGAGCAACAAGCAAAAGAAGATATACCACCTAGACTTTTGGCTCTATTTGTAAATTGATTTGCCATAGTGTGTGTGTGTGTGTGTGTGTGTGTGTGTGTGTATGTGTGTGTGCACACACATACACACACATGTTTTTCCTGGACAAGGTAATCCAGGAAATTGGGGAAATGTTCTTGAGACCAAATATAGTTATCCCACACAGTGTAGACAGGTCTCAGCTTTCATTTTTTAAAATGCTCTTTTTTTTATGGTTTACTTTCTGAGTATTGAATCCTCTTTCTTTTCTCCTGTCAAAAGAAGACATGAGTCATGTATAGTGCCACACATCTGTAATCCCTACATTTGGGAAGCTGCAACAGGGGACTGAGAGCTTGAAGGTTGGCTAGGCTACAGAGCTAGTCCGTTGCAAACAAATGAACAATTACAAGAGGCCACGAAGAAAGCCTATAATCTATACTAAATAGCTACACAAACTGGGGTAGTAGCTGAACCAATATGAGCCTGACTTTTCATCTATAAAATGAGTGTATGCCTATGTTCTTATTTCCTTCCTGTCACACAAAGTACTGAGGAAAACACTATAAACAAACAGAAAAGTTAGGCACAAATATCATTTTAATAGTGTTATTGTTCCTTCCATGATCAATAGGGTAGCAACAATTTTAAAATAGATTTTAGTTTGGAAACATGAAAATATAAGGAAAAGTATAAAGAAGATTAAATCTTGAATGGTTTGACATCATCAATTTTAACAGCAACTCAAAGCCAACCTCATGTCATCTGTACCTTCACTTCCTTCATCTACAGCAGATGATTTTTAGAAAAAAATATCAGGGACTAGAGCAATAACTCAGCAGTTGAGAGTACTTGCTGCTCTTCCAGAGGTCTGGAGTTTGGCACCCTGGATCGGCAGCTCACTACCTCCTGAAACTGCAGCTCCAGCAGATCTGACATCCTCTTCTGTCTCCACAGGCACCAGCATACATGTGACATACATTCTACATAGACATACACATACACATTATTAAAACTGAAGTAAGTTTTTAAAAAAATACCTGATACTGTTAAGATTTGAAGTATTTTGTTATATGTTTCTAAAACTTGAGGATGCTCTATTTTAAATATAACTGCCGTATCAACATCACCTAAAGTCATTTTTATTAATGGTGGGTGCTACCATACCTGGTTCTGTCTTTTAAGCCTCTCAAAAGTCTCTCATAACTGAAAAAGTTTTTTCTTTCAAATTCTGCTTTTAGGAGAAAGGTAAATCTAGCCACATAGAAGTCTTTCAAGTGAGAATTAAGTAGTAATAAAATAAGCTTTAGACTACCTAGATTCTGTCTTGTGTTGATAAATCCTGTTATAAATCATTATTTATTGGGTGCCTGGAACTGGTCTAGCCAAATAATAATAGCTGCCACATATTGCTGCTTTCTTAGCAAAACAACTACAATCAATATGCCTGTAAATTATCTTCAGTTTTTTCACTTTAAAAAGTTATTTTTATGTGTAGATGTATGTGCCTGCATGAGTTTATATGCATTATGTGCATACAGAAGCCCACGAAGTCCAGAAGATCCCCTGGAACTGGACTTGTAGGCAGTTGGGAGCTACCTTGTGGATGCTGGCAACTGAACCTGAGTCCTCTGCCTGGGTCCACTGCTGAGCCATCTCTCCAGGCCCCCTTTTCCATTTTGAGATGTTTGTGTTATACCCATTACATTGATGAAGAAAGGAAGCCATCTGAAGTTAAATAACTTACCTAAGGGTGTAACCATCTAATAATGACAGCCAGGGTCTGAACATAGATTTATCTGATTCCAGGATGCATGTTCTTCAAAATCTTCTCTTACAGAATCCTCATTCCCTTCATATGTCAATCACTTTTACAAAGAATAAAAACTTTTCTTTCTTTTGGCAGCTGGAGATTTACATTTTACTTAATGATTACTGTGGCTGGAATTGTGTTTCTTTATGATGTAAGTAGCCATTTTGATAACTTTGGAATTTGTCTATAATTTTTAAAATTATTGTTTATGAATTCTATAAATGCAAAAACATTTCTCACTTCAAAATAGATAAGATATAGTTTATTCTGGAGCCAAAGATGAGTGACCTTGGCAGCATGGGAGCGTAGATTCAGACCGCTCACATTCCATGTCCTAATGTGGTAACAATTTCATAGGAATAGAACAAAGAAAATCAGAAATCAAGATACTTTTCAAATACATTGGTGGAAACATCAGGTAGGTAGGTTATAGTAAAGTGGACAATTCCCATGTGTATGCAGGCTTCAGAGACTGGCAACATTTTTGGCTTTTGGTTGGTGGTGGTACATTCCAAAGAATTTGCCTAATAGTCACAAAGATGTTAGGTCAAGTTGGTGATAATTGGTTATTAATTTGACTAAAGGTGGCCTAAGATAAATTCTAATTAGGCTCTGGACCTGCAACATTCTGAACTCTCCACAATCATAGGAGTTCTAATCAGTTGGTCAGCTTAAAGATGATTCAATATAAAGTGTGGTTTCCTTCCAGGAACTTTCATTCACTATCCTTTTAGGACATAATACTTTCAATAAGTTATTCAAATTTAGAATTTTCTCTCAAGAGTCAAGATTTTTCTCAGGCTGGGGATATAGCTTAGTGGCAGAGCATTTGTCTACCATAAGCAAGGTTCACAATATTTCTCTCAAGCCAGGCATGGTGGTGCACACCGTTAGTCCCAGCACTCTGGAGGCAGAGGCAGGTGGATCTCTGTGAGAACAAGGCCAGCCTGGTCTACATAGCAAGTGCCAGGCCAGCTGGGACTACAAAGAGATCCTGCCTCAAAAGGACCAAAAAATTTTCTCTCAAATATTTTGTTGTTGTAGTTGTTGCAGTAATTTTTGCCTTTATTATTTGTTTGTTTATTTTTGTTGTTTTTAAAGACAAGTTCTTGCTATGTATCTGAGGCTGGCCTGAAACTCACTATGTAACCTATGCTATTCCAGTCTCTAATAATCTTATCTCAACCTCCCAAGTGCTGAGAATATAGGCATCAACCACTAACCCAACTCAAGATAGTTTTATTTGTACGGATACAAAAAATCCAATTGATTCAGAAACTATTTCGTTGGTAGATTCACTCATTCAAACAGTTCTTCAGAAAGATAGTACTGTTTATTGACCTCGAATTTACTAAAAGTAGTGGATTTCACAGGTGTGGTAAAGCTAAATAGAAACATAAATAAGTGTTCACAGGGGGAAAAATACGTGCAGAAGGAGCAACACAAATTTGCAAAAGTGAGTGTGCAACAGTAAACATCATAAAGAGCCATGTTTGCTACTGAAACAGAGAATCCCCGGCTGGATGACAAATGCGTATCTTCTCTCTTGGCTTATCTTTTTATTTTAATTTTTTTCAGAAACCATGGACATATGACCTCTGGGAGGTTTGGGATGGCTATCCCAAACAGGTAGGTCCCTTCTGATGCCACCTTTCCCTTAACTACCCAGGCCTCTCACTTGTCCCTTAGTTAGGTCTTCATCCTCTGCCTGCTCTGCCCACCTTCATGCTCAACACTAGTTCTTTCTCAGCCTGGAATTCTGCATCCTTCTGACTCGTCTCGTGCCTCATTCTTCTAGCAACAGAAATTTAATTCCTTTTTCAGAGGACAATTTTAGAGTCCTTAAATAAGTACACATCTAACATAATTCACATTAAACAAAAGTTAGGCAATTGTACCTGCAACATTTTTTAACTTTTTAGACAAAACATTTGATTTTATTTTAGAATTACTTTTCTACTCTTTTAGAAATAAAACACCTTACAGTCTTACAGTAATTACTTTGGGGAATTTAAGTCGATGTCATTTTCTGGAATTTTGTGGAATATTGATAGGCTCTGGTGAATTAGAATAAGCTGCTTGCGAGGTGACACTTGAAGTAATGAATGTTCTCTCCTTCCCCAGCCTCTGCTGCCTTCACAGTACTGGTACTACATTCTGGAGATGAGCTTTTATTGGTCGCTGCTGTTTAGCCTTGGCTCTGATATCAAGAGGAAGGTAAGTGTCATACTTAACAAAACTTCTTCAAAAGTTTTACCCCTTTGTCCTGAATTCTAACCATAAATTATATTTTATGTGAATTTGGCTCCAGCTCATTGGTTTTTTGCTCTTGATGGTGCACAGGATAATTCACGTTATGCTTATGCTTTAGTGTTTGAGTACTAAAGTACCTGTAGTGCCACAGAAGCTAGGCTTAAAGCTCTATCCCTGACAAGAAGGCAGTTCTCCTTTCTATGTTTCTTGTGGCTTTGGAGGTTGGTGTTTTTTGTGCTCAGTACTCAGTAAATGTTAGTATAGTGATTTAACTCTGAGCCACATCTTGTACCTGATGACAAACCAGTTTATGTAATCCTTTCTGATGTTTTCAAGCATTTGAAGATATTTTTTTCCTTAACTCAATTATCCCTGTTAGAAACCATGCTTCTGGCATTAGTAGCTTTGCTTTATTTCCAAGGAAACTTGGTCATGGGAATTCTAAGTGCCTCCCTTGCAGTCACAAAGTGAGACATTTCAAGACTATGGTTAACTCCATCACTGGTTCAGTTGCCATGTTAACTCTGAATGCAGTCACATGATTTCCTCAGCAAAGCAAATGAGAAATACTGTTGGTATTTCAGGTCTTCCGGTACTAACCCCAGTGTAGAATTCTGACTTGAAGAGAAATCTGTATAATAAATATAACCAAGGTCAGTTAAATATTAGATTAAATGGAGTTGGCTTTATTAAATGATGTTTGAGTTGAATGGTGATATGGTTATCACTGGGGGTACATTGCAGTCTGCAGATATCTTTAATAAAAACTCACATAATCTAGAGATATACTATAAAAAAAACTCAGAAGAGCATTGACTGGTCTTGGAGAGGACTTAGGTTCGAATCCCAGCACCCACACGGCAGCTAGCAAACGTCCATAACTCCAGTTCTGTGGGATCCAACACCCCCTTCTGACCTCTGCAAGCACTACACAACATGGGTGCACCTACCTACATGGAGGCAATATACTCATACACATAAAAAATAAAAATAATAAATATTTTTTAAAAAGAAACTAATTTTGTTCCTGTATAACTCAGCAACAGAAGAGCACTAGACTCACCAGTACTGACAGTAGGCTAATGATATATCAAAATTTGATTGATTGGGGTTTTTTGTTAAGGAAGAAGGTGGAATTTTTTAGAAAGTCTCCCTTGCTAGGTCACATATCCCACCACCATCCTCTGTGCTCTACCTCTGAGTTTGTGCTAGCTGACTTGCCTTGTGTTATTTATTTGCAGGTGCACTGAACTCCTTTTCAAGGATGAAATTTAAGTACATGCTTTAGGTTTTATAAATATGTATTTTCAAAGATATAATCCTATTGGAGGGCTGATGTACACCTTGCCATCAGTTGCCTGGGTTTGAACACCTAGCTTCACCACTCACTAACATAAAACTAATTAGTGAAACTACCTAAATTTGGTTTCATCATCTGTAAAGCAGCTAGTTCTGCCACCTCCTGTAGTTGTAAGGATTAAGAAGTTAATCCAGGAGCCATCAGGATGGATTAATGGGTCTGGGGGCACTAGTCCCCAAACCTGATAGCCTGAGTTTAACCTTCAGAATCCACATGGTGGAAGGAGAGAAATGAGTCCTTCAAGTTGTGCTCTGATCTCCACAGACATGCTGTGGCTTATACATGTCCAGGTACATACACAGACACACCGACACAGACAGAGACACAGACAGACAGACACATACACACGCACAGAAATCAATGTAAAAAATTGAATCCCTATAAAATGTACAAAATAAATGCTGAATGAATTGAGCTGTTATTACTGTTTTTTAGTTTGACTTCAGAGAAACTGAAATCTTTAAGGTTTTTTGTTCATTTGTCTATCATTATTTTTTTGAGAAAGGGTCTCCCTGTAGCCTCAGCTGGCCTAGAACTCCATATGTAGATCAGGCTGGCCTTGATCTCACAGAGATCCACCTGCCTCTGCCTTATGAGTGTTGGGATTAAAGTGTGCACCACCACACAGCTCTTTTAAGTTTTTAAAAATTGTTCTTATCTAGATAGTCCCTTACTATATAATTCAACCATTTAAAGCATACAATTCAGTTGTTTTAAATATATTCACAGAGTTGTGTGGTCATTGCTCCAGTCAGTTTTAGACCATTTTATCACCCTCCAAAAAAATCTTGTGCCCTTTATCAGTCACTCTCCATGTCTCCCCACTTCCCCATTTGGGGCAGTCACTGCCCTACTTTCTGTCTCATGGTGGAGGTCAAACAGGACATCACTCTCTGTCTTTTTGCTTTGGACAGGCTCTCTTACTGAACTGGAGCTTGACATTTTGGCTGGGATGGCTGGCTAGTGACCTCTGAAGTTCTGCCTACCTCCATCTCGCCAATGCTGGGGTTACAGACATGTATGACCATACCTGCTTTTTATGTGGGTTCTGGGGAATTGGGCTCAGGTCTTCATGCTTACAGAGCAAGTGCTCTTACCCACTGAGCCACCTCCCCAGATCCTATGCCTGACATTTTGAGGAACTGCCATACTGTTTACAAAGCTACTGAACTAATTTACATTCCTACCAGCAGCGTGCAAGGGTTATGGTTTCTCCGCATCCCTTCCAGCACTCACTATTGTTCATCTTTTCCCTAATGCTCTCCTGGTGAGTGTGAAGTAGCATCTCACTGAAGTTGTGATTTGCATTTTCTAGGTCACTACTGAGGCTGAACATCTTTCTACATGCTGGCTGTCTATTTTTATATCTTTTAAAAAAATGGTTTATTTGTATTAGCTTAAAATATAATGAGAAAGCCACAAACGATGCCCTGTGTGAAATCAGAAAAAACAGGAAGATTTCTGAAAGGAAAATCCTTCTGATTTTATGCTCACTGGTGATAGCCCTCTTTAGACTTAATTCTGAATAGTTATTTGACTTTCATCTTATATAGCAATTTATTTTAAGGATTGTGTAGCTTTTATTGTCTATTTTCCTTTTTTGATTGAGCAAGGAATAAACAAAACTGTAAATGCTTGAGTATGTGTGCACTTTTTGTGTGTGTGCATGTGTATGCACACGCATGTGAGAGAGAGAGAGAGAGAGTGTGTGTGTGTGTGTGTGTGTGTGTGTGTGTGTAAATGCAGTATGAGGCAGTAGAAACAGCAGAAGTTACAGTTAGATGGCAGCTATCCAGCACTGTCTCAAGTTAAAGTCTCCCTCACTGTCTCTCATTGAGGATGGTAAGTGTCCTGACTCCCTCACAAGGACCGTGTTTAAGAATTAAAGCAAAAGTATTTTATAAATATCAAGACATGTAGATATAAGTTATTGGTATAATTATTACTATCTTTTCCGGTCACTGGGAAATAACTGCTTTTGCTTAATGGCTTCCATTTTTCTCTCATTATGTAGGATTTCCTTGCTAATGTCATCCACCACCTGGCTGCTCTTAGTTTGATGAGCTTCTCTTGGTGTGCTAATTATATTCGCAGTGGGACCCTTGTGATGATTGTGCATGATGTGTCTGACATTTGGCTGGAGGTAAGGCTTACCATTAAAAAAAATAATAATGCCATGTCCTGGTTTTCTATTAAGTGCCCACAGAAAGAATTATCTGTGAGTGCTTTAGCGGGGCCTCTGTCCTGAAAACACCCTAAGTCCAAGAAGCTCTGTGGGTTCCCAGATTTTCAAAATAGAAGAAATGGAATCTCTTGGTATTTACTTTCCAGTCTTTTCCATGATGCAAACAAGAGGTTAATTTGTGGGTTTGTGCTTTATAAAGCTACGTGCTGATAGTTCCAGAAGTAATATGAGATACTTGAATAAGAAACAAACCCAAAGATTGTTAGAAGGAAAACTTGAAAGTTTTTGCATTGGAATTCTTCAGGTTGGACAGCACCCTCTACTGCTGTCTGACTACCCATTGAATGCACACCTCGCACATCCCGATCTTTCTCCAGTCTCATCTCTTGCTTTAGGGAGTGCTAACTGATGTTTCTAAAATGCCATTCATCTTCTAAGAGAAAGAGGATTTAGAGCGTTTCATGATGCAGAAAACATTAAGCCAAGAGTCTTCCTAACCCTATTCCACACAGTATACAAGGAACAAAGCAGCTGGGGCTGTTTTCTCAACTTGCTTCATTATGTTTCAGCTCCCGTTGGCACGGGGCTGCAACCAAACGGTCCTTTTGCTGCCAGGTCTCCTGCTGTAGCTAGAGCAACATTTCCCAGAACCAGTTACTTACTCATTTCAGTGTACTCATTTATAATGAACCCAGGGAAAACGATGCTAACTCATTTCACATTTGAGATTGTTCCTTAGAGGGCTAATAATTGAATATAGGTTGATGTGGAAGAAATTAAATTTAATAGAATTTTGTTCCTCTAGATTGGAATTCAGCCAGCCTTTTTGATAAACGTCCAGAGAATAAATCTAGTTTTGTGGGCTTCATGTGATTTATATCATTTATTCTTCTTTGTTTTTTCCTTTCATATACCTCTTTAAAAAATGTGAAAACCATTCTTAAGGACTGATCAGCTTTAGCCAATGGGCTGGATAGTAATTTGCCTATTCCTGTTTAAAAAGTAGTCAGAAGTCATTTGAAGCCATTTCAAAGCGACTGGGCACTGTAAAAAAAAAAAAAAGAGTTGTAAAATATTCTCAGCACTCAGAGTATTGTTTCTGCTTTTTCTTAATCAAATAATTAGATACATGAATCTCATTCTAAAGGTCAAGGTTATTGCATGTGCTTCTGTATAGCAAATGGCTCAGCAAGGCAGGGCTGAGCCAGGGTTTTCAAGAGCTGCTTTCTGAATACAGCTATTTCTATTGCAACCCCAACCCCTGCACATACACAGACACACAGACACACACACACACACAACCCCACCCCCTGCACAGACACAGACACACACACACACACACACACAACCCCACCCCCTGCACAGACACAGACACACACACACACACACACAACCCCACCCCCTGCACAGACACAGACACACAGACACACACACACCTCTCTCTCTCTCTCTCTCTCTCTCTCTCTCTCTGTCTCTCTCTCTCTCACCACATCTCAGTGATCCTGGTGAAAACTAAGACCATATTAGCCATAACTTAAGAATCTTATATTCATCTCATCTCTTGTTTCTAAATGCTTATTTGATCATCTTTGGTATATATCCAACATAAAGCACTTCCATTGTGTTTTTAAGGGAAAGCTCGATGTTCAAATCTGGCCTAGAAGCTTGGTTCCCCCCCCCCTTTTCCTCCTCTACCTTGTCACTGACACACCATAACTCCCAAATGGGACTTGGGCAAATTACTTACTGTTTTGTTTTCTAGCCCCAACTGTAACATGAGAAATCATATCAGTCCCTTATGGTTTATTGTGATGTTTAGCTCATTACTGTTTGAAAATTTTCTGAGTGTTTAGGTAAAAAGACAAAAGAAAAATAATATGTCATACTTAGAGGTCCCTTCATGGTTAAACTATAAGAACAGCCTCATGTTGTTAATGATTGTGAGTCATTCTTGATTCATAAGTCATGATCTAACTGTGGCACAGTACACAAGCCTAGTGCCTTCTATTAACAGCTGGTGGTAGAGACAACATTGCATGGCAGCAGGGGCCTATTTTTGGTGTTTTCCCAAGGATGCATGACCCATGGTTTCTTTAAATAGTTGTTTAAGTGCTTGCTCTCTCAATCAAGTTCTAATTGAACCCAGACGTGGTATCACTTTTGCTGTTTAGACCTTGGAATTGGTGCCTATTAATCTTCCATAAACCTTGGGACACTTGGTAGTGTGTTCCTTGGCTCTTTCTCTGCAACAGGAAACACCCTCAGCATCTACAGTTCTTTCTGATACATGACCTATTGTCTGAGTCTTGCATTTTTTGCTCTTCTCTAATAGTCTTTATGTCCAGTTTTGGATCTAGGACCCAACACTTACTGTGTTCTGTCTGATACTTAGCACTGATGAGGGGGTCTACCATTTGGTATTTCATCATTCCACAGTCAGAAGGAGTTGAAAGTATTTTTTGCCCAACAATGCAATTTCCGTCACCAGTGGGTTTACAGAGACTCTGGTGCTCACATCTCTCTTCAGTTTCCCACCTTGGCCTGGCCTCTGACCTTTCAGATGGTTATTTACTCTATTCCCATCTGATTCTGGTCTTTGCCTCTCACCCATCTCCCACGCCTGGGTGTACTGGCTTACCCCCACAGGCTGCTCATATCCTCATTGTTGGTAAGTTTGGTAAAGCATAAAAAATGCAGTACAGACTCTTCCTGGAGGGCAGACATGCTGCTCTTCTTGTTCTGGAAAGGCCTTGAGCCTCCAGGACATAATTTCTGAACCTGTCCAAGTCTAAGCCATGCTCCCTGTATTAGTTACTTTTCTGTTGCTATGATAAAATACCATGACTAAAAGCAACTTAAGGAGAAAAATCTTTTATTTTGGCTTAAATAAGTTCCAGAGGCAGGGGAGGCAGGGGAGGCAGGGGAGGCATGGCAGCAAGAGCAGGAAGTTGAGAGATCACATCTCAGCCATAAACAGGAAGCAGAGAGAGGAGGGAGGGTGGGGGAAGGGAGAAAGGAAGAGGAAGGGAGAAGGAGAGGAGAGGAGGGGGAGGAGAAGGGAGGAGAGAGAGAGCTGGGTGAGGCTATAAACTCTCAAAGCTCTCCCCCAGTGATTTCCTCCCTCCTGCAAGGCTGTACCTCCTAAAGGTTCCATAACCTCCTCAAATGATGCCACTAACTGGGGACCAAGCACTTAAATACAAGAGCCCATGGGGGAACATTTCTCATTTAAACCACCACACTCCCTAAAGGGATGGTATGTCCCCCAGAACTCTAATCCATCCCTGACCCCCAGCTCTAACTGCAGTCCTAGGCTGCACTAGATAATGTAATAGAAGAGTATCTTTAATGCCACATTGACTGCCACATTCTCAGCCCAGCCCAGATTTCACTCCTGACCCAGCCTTTATACATACAGTCCGGCTCCCTCTCAGTGGAGATAGGAAATAGATGCTCCTACAAAATGCATGCTAAGAGCTGGAGAGATGGCTCAGCAGGTAAAGAGTGCTTGCTGTTCTTCCAGAGGACCCAAGTTCAGTCCCCAGCACCCATGTCAGGCAGCTCACAACCTTCTGTAACTCCAGCTCCAGGGGATCTAACACTGTCTCCTGGCCTCCTCCGGTACCTTCATACATGTGGCATACACTCACACATACAGATACACAAGCATACACATAAATAAAAATTAAAAACGGGGCTGGCTAGATGGTTCAGTGGGTAAAGGCACTTGTTACTAAGCTTGACGACCTGACTGTGATCCCCAGACCCAGAACCCACATGGTGTATGGAGAGACCCAACCTTGTAAGTTGTCCTCTGACCTCTGTGCATGTGTGGATGCATGCACAGGTGCATACACACACAAATAAATAAATAAAAATTAGAATATAATTTAAAATATTTTAATTAAAAATAAATTTCTTAAAAAGCAAAGGAATGCTAAGATTCACTGTGTTGACTTTTAGTGTTTTTTAAAGAAAGGCACCCTATCACAGTTATTTCTATATATCTTTTAATGACATTGTGTTATGGAAATTTTCAAACTAGGACCAGACAAAGAGATTTCTTCTATTTTAAGAGATATCGTTATGACCAGTTTTATTTAATGCATGGCCCCATCCACAACCCAGACCTTCCCCAGATTGCTTTGAAGCGAGTTCTAGAAATCATATCATTTCCTTTATTTTTAAAATTCATGCCACTAGTGCTTTGTCTGAATGCAGTTTCTTTCTTTGTTTTCAGTCTGCTAAGATGTTTTCTTACGCTGGATGGAAGAACACCTGTAACACCCTGTTCTTCATCTTCTCTGTCGTATTCTTCATCAGCCGCTTCATTATTTTTCCCTTCTGGTGAGTAGACAAGGAGCCACACCCTGCCTTTGTTGGTGTGCCCAGCACACTGTGATAGTCACAGCATCACCGCTCTGTCCTTACATTCTCTCCAGTCATTCTGCCACATTCAGCTGGAGTAGAGAATGTCATGGAGCCATTTTTATAACTTCTTGAAAAAAACTATCTGAAGCTTATGTTTTTATAATCAAATAATTAAAACACCACTCTCTACTGTGGGAAAGGCTTACTACCCAGGGAGTTGCAAAAGGCCTGACCCAGTGGGTGAGCAGCAGCTGCTAGTCTGCATCTTGTCTCATGAATGTGAGTCTTTCTTTGTGATGAGTAGCTTTTTCGGTAGCTCAGTGAAAAGCCACTTCCAAGACTGCAGTCCTTTAGAAGAAAGTGTGTTCTACATTACAGTAAGCACAGCTACCACCTGAGTCCCAGACAAGGCATCAAGTCCCTTCCATATCTACACAGATCGCAGAAGTGCATATTATCACTCCCACTTCACAGATGAGGACACTGGTGCTCACTTCACTTTCTATGCCTATGGCCTTACATCTGGGGATCCTGTTAGCCTTAGCTCTTGTTTTATCTGTTTATTTATCCATGGGCTGACTGTGAAGGACCTATATGATGTCTCCCAAACAGTCCTTCTTCAGCAAGCATAGTTGATGACATGTTGACTGACAGAAACCAAAGAAAACATGAAGTTTTAGGTGGTCTGGAAGGAATAGCCTACAACCAACCACGTTTCAGAATAGCCTGGAGCTTAGGACCTCTCAACAGAAGAATGCAGAAACAAATGGAGACTCCAGTTCCAGACCTCATTCTTAGATGGATGTATAGCATCCTTCACTGGCACCCAGGGAGGTCTAGCCAGAGAGGTCAATGGAAGCTGTCCTTGTCATGAAAGCCAGCTGCATTCTCTAAACCAAGACTGGGTGTCTTGATTAAGCATTTTTCTGGAGAGAAGCAGCCCAATGAAGTGGTTAAGTTCATGGACAAGAATCAGTCCGGGGATCCAATCTTGTCTCCACACTTACTGCCTGTGTGAACTTGGACAGATTAGATAATCTTTCTGTGCTTTCATTTTTTTCATCTGTAAAATGGTTGATGTAAGACTTATTCGAGATAATAAATATAAAATAGTTTTAGGAAAATATCTGATACTTAGTAAAGACCTAATAAGTGATGCCCATTTTGCTAAAGTTATTAATTAGTATCTAGAAATTGATAATTTAATCTAGAATCCAATCAAAGATATGTGCTCATACATTCATTTTTGATAATTGTATTAATTTTTTGTTAATAAGTTTTGTTCTTTCACACTTTTATTTATTTGCTTTTTGTATTTTGGTCCGATTCTCCTCCACACCTCCTCCCATTTCCGTCCCACCTCTATCAGCCCCCTCCTCCTCCCTATCAATCTCTTTCCCCTATTTATTAGGTTTTGTTTAGTGTCCCACTAAGTATAATCAGGATTGTCTATGGAATCTTGAGTTTGGAAGTAACCATCAGAGCCTGGTGGGCTCACCAGTGGGTGCTCAACTTGAAATCATACCTTCCCCTCTCCCAGAATCTGTCAGTTGCCAACAAATCAGCAGTATGTAGTAGGGCCCCGTGGGTCCCTTGCCCCTCCATAACTGACTGTTAGGAGGGCTCAACTTCTGTGGACCCAGTGCCAGTATGCACAGCTACTGTGAGTTCATCATTCTCATGTCTGTGTCCTGCTTAGGTGATGGTATTTCTCAGCCCCTCTCCCCATCCTCCAGTTCTTACTCTTTCAGCCCCTCTCTCACAATGCTCCCTGAGCCTTAAGTGGGTGGTATAAATATCTTGTCTTTTATTCTCAGCATCTTGTGCAGCCATGGGTCTCTACATTTGTCTCCATTCACTGCAAGGAGAATATTCTCTGTTTAAGGCTGGGAGTAACCTTTGTCATATTTATGAAGTACTTTGATGCTGTGTCAGTTCAGCCAAGCAGCCATCTTAGGTTCCCTCCTAGGGATTAAGACCTTTTTCAGTTTCGTGGGTTTTGGCCTAAGTTTACACTATTAGGCATGGATTCCTTCTTGTGGAGCAAGCCTGAAATCCAATTAGGGAACAATTGGTTACCACCATAACAGCCATGCCACCATTATATCAATGGGCACATCTTGCCAGGCAGGTTGTTATTAAAGTTCATGGAATTCACAGCTGAGTTGGATCATAGTGGCCTGTATGGTGCTACCCAATACCATGAGAGCGAGCCAGCAAGAGGAATCTTCCAGTTTAATTCCATCTTGATTTCTCTACGTCTTGTATCCAAGGTGTGTAAAGTCTACTGCAATGAGGTCTCATCAACTAGTTCTGATGAGTAACTAAGAGGAATGGCAAGAGTCTGTTTTATTTGGGGGGTGGGGTGGTCTCTAGGACTTTCCTGACCAACAACTCCTGTGGGGTATCCATACTCAGTACTGGGGTTTTTGTTTCATGACCCATTTCTACTACAACCTGCATTGTCTGGTTTTGCAAAATATCTGCCTTCAGACCAAGGTTTTTAACTTGTTTATCAGACAGTAGGCTACCAAGTGGCTTTCTCATTCTCCCTTCATTTTGTCTAGCTTTCCTTCCATTCCCTCACTTCCACCATTTCCCACCACTCTCCCTGTTTGAAACTTTGTGTCCCCAATATACTTCATCCTCATTTAACCTATGTACTACTGTATCTCCTGCCTTAAGGCACCTCACACACACTGGCCCCTTTCTAGTTTCTTGGGTTCCTGAGGTACTCCAAGGCAAGCACACAAATCAAAGCCTCTACAAACAGCCTGATATTGCACAAAAAGACATATAGAGTAATGAAGTATAATACAAGACCCAGTATAAGTCCACTCAACTGCAGCTACATGATTTTTTTTTAAAAAAAAAAAGAAGGCAAAAATATACACTGGAGAAAAGACACCCTCCTCAGCATGCTGGGAAACCTGAACATCAATATGAAGAAGAATGAAACAGTACCCTCATGTCTCACCCTGCACAAAACTCAACTCAAAGTGAATCAGGGACATGAGTATAAGACCTTTCACCCTGAAGTTGATAAAGGAAAAAGTAAATTGTTTGCTTTAACATACAGGTTTAGGTAAAGATTCTCTGAATATGACTGGTAGCATAGAAAATAAAACCAATGATCAACAAATGGGATTTCATGAAACCAAAAAGCTTCTGTACAGCAAAGGAAACTGCCAGTCAAGTGAAGAGGCGGCCCACAGAGTGGGAAAAATATTTGTCAGTTATTCAACTGATAGAGGATTAGTACTAGAATATACAAAGTCCTCAAAAACCTAATTTAAAATAACTCAGTTTAAAAATGCACTGTGGAACTAAACCGTTTTCAAAAGAAGAACTAAAAATATCTAGGAAACACTTTAAAAACTGTCCAACATCCTTAACCACCAGGGAAATGTAGATCCATCTCACCCAGTCAGGATGGCCATCATCAGAAATACAAATGACGACAAATGTTGGTGTGGATGTGGGGAAAGGGGAACTCCTGTACGCTGCTGTTGGAAGTATAAAGTAGCACAGCCACTTTGCAGATCAGTTTGGAGTTTCCTCAAAAAATTAGAAGGGTATCTACCATATGATCCAGCCATACCACTCCTGGGTATATTCCCTAAGGAGTCTGTATCCTACTATAGAAACACTTGTACATCCATGTTCATTGCTGCTCTATTCCCTACAGTTAGGACACAGAATCAGCCTAGATGCCCATAAACAGATGAATGGATAATGAAAATTGTGGTACATATACATAGTGGAATTCATGTGGCTATAAAGAAAAATAAAATGATGAAATGGGCAGGGCATGGTGGCACATGCCTTTAATCCAAGCACTTGGGTGGCAGAGGCAGGCTGATCTCTGTGAGATCGAGGCCAACCTGGTCTATAGTGAGTTCCAGGTCAGCTGTGGCTACAGGGAGACCCTGCCTCAAAAAGACCAAAAAAAATTATGAAATGGATGGAACTAGAAAAACTTGTGCTGAGTAAGATAACTTAGGTCCAGAAAGATAAACGCTACATCTTTGGTCAATTTATTACTGCCACTTCTGCTTTGACTAAGTAGAGATGTCTGTAAAAATCAGTTGGTTTTTATTATTGTTTTTATGGTTCCAGAATGCAGGGCTCCCCTTAGGCAGGCTCAGCAGGAGTTCACTCTACTACCGAGCTGCACACCAGCCCCAAAGTGCCATTAATGAGAGGATAAATTCTGACTTGCAGATAACAGTTGGATGTAGTTTTTCAGTGTGACTTCTATGGCACTGTAAGTCTGCCATTTTCCCCATGGTGCCTTTACTCATGTCCCCAGTGCTTCACACACAATGCTTGGCTGTTTCTGTACAGCAAATTGATCACTGTGTGGCTAAAGTTAGTGCTGGGCAAAGTTGTTCTGGTAAGGGTCATAGAACAATATTTTAGGCTTTGAAAGTCACATATGGCCTTTGTTGTATATTTTTCTTTGTTTTATTTTGTTTTACAACTCTGTAAAAAATTTATCAAGCTATACATAGCACTCAGGCTGTAAAATAAAAAACATGTTGTAGACCAATTTTATCCACAGGCCAGTTTGCATGCCTTTCCTTTAAAACATTTTACCGATTATTGTTGCTTCTCAAAGTTCTTGGGAATGACTGAGCTTAGCCAGATGGGCTCCACTGAGGGCCTCTCATGTGGTTACAGTCAGATGGAAGTCTGGCTGTCAGACAGTGGCTACAGTTACAACATCCTTAAGGCCTTTCTCGGTCGCATGGATGAAGGAATGCCTGTCAGACTAGCTAGTTGGTGACAGTTGTTGGCTGGAATACCTACAGATGTCCCCTTTGCTTGGCCTTGACCTTCTCATAGCAGGGCAGCATCATTTCAAGTATGAGCATCCTGAGGGAGAGCTAGGCAGACACTGCATCTCCTTCTGTAATCCAGCACAGAAGTCACATCATGTCATTTCCTACCTCATAATCTTAATTGGACATCTC